TTTTTTGAAGCCAATAAAGAAACTTGGACTCGAAATCTGAATCCAATGTCACTTAACCACAACTTTTCTCTTTCTTTCACTCGTTGAGTGAAGTTCTTTTTTTTTTTTATAAATGTAATATCTCTTCCCAAACTTAGCATAAAAAACACATCCAAACTAAAGCTCATGAGTTCCTTAGAAAGGTAAATTCTTGTTTTTCAGGCTAAGGCTAAGACTAATAATTGGTTAAATGAAAGAAAAGGCTTACATGTAGGCTCAAAGTGGTTACAATGGAAAATCATGCTTAAGCATGCATACGGTTAGTTTGAAAGGCACAAACGGTTCAAAGAGGGCCTTAATATCATTTCTCAAATGTCATGTAATCAAATTGCACAAGAATGAATGTTTTTTTAAGTGCTCAACCAAGTCAATGAATAATGAGATCAAACAACAACTTGGATGACAAGAAAATAAGAATATGTGTATAACACTCATGAAATGAAGCACAAGGCTCAAAGCTCACATTATATGGTTATACAAGTCTAATTCATGCTTGATACAATTCTTTGGATCATGCAAGTCCCTTAACTGGAGAATTATGAAACAAATGGCAAGTGCATAGAGTGGTTCAAACATATCATGCTAGAATGATGCCATTCAGTGAATACGTGAATAATAATTTTTTTTATATATATAGATATTTTCAATCAAGTCATGTAAACATTCATCAGAATCTCATCTTATATGTCCGGAAAGTGACTTGAAAACAAAATGACTCAAAACTGAAAAGAAAACAAACTAAAAGAAAGCAAGAAATTAAGTGAAACGAAAATAAGACTTGCTATCCCTTCCCAAACTTAGAAATAAACATTGTCCTCAATGTTGAAAAATTTAGGCATCAGCAAAGTTATAACAAGAAATGAAAGGGATTTAAAGTAATTAAATAAAAGAACAAACAAGAATTAAAACTACAACTCAGTTGCAAAAACAAAACAAAATCAAACGGAACAAAACCAAACCAAATACAACAGTAAGCCCTAACAACAGTTCTACGCACGCAGAAATCCAGCCCATGAGAACGTTCAAATCAATTGAAAACCCAACCCAAATGAAAGCCCAAACACTTCTTTTATTATTATTATTATTATTTATTTTTATTTTTATTATTATTAAAAATTAAAGAAAACAAAGAAGCGTTGTCAGAAGCGCAAGGAACGAGATTTCTAAAAAGAGAGAAGAGGGGCCGGATGTCTCGTTTACTGATAGGTCACGGGCCAAAAGAGGTGAGGGACATGTCAGCGTGCAGAGGCCGCTTTTACATCCCCCAAGCCAGAATTATTGGCTTCGTAGGAAGGCGCGGCGACTTTTTATTTCTTGAAAGCGCTGAAAGGCAGAAATGCAGTTAAGAGGGTTGGGGGACGGGTGCGGCAGATGGAGATAAGCCGTAGGGGTGCGCGAAACTCAGAAGCGCAGCGGCTAGGGTTAGAAACACACAAAAGAGAAAAGAAAGAAAGAAGAAAAGAGAGTGAGAAATCAAATGGCCTCTAACTACCCATTTTCGTTGGATCTCAACCTAGCTCCACCGACTCAGACATTGGGCCAAGCAGCGGCACCAGTATGGATGCCCTACTTTGCTTCCGCACGGGGGCCTGTGACAGTAACTGACTCAATACTCCTGGACAACGATGTTGCCATTGGAGTTGCGAGAAATCTAGTGACTCCTAAAGATATACGTGTGCTGGGCACAAGGGATGACAATCGGGTCGTGAGCGACGCCCTGGCACTAAGCGTGCAGAGTACAACATGTGTCGCAAGTTTGGGTCATCGCCTACTTGCGAAGTCCCATGAGGTAGAGGTGCTGAAAGGTCAGTTGGCGGCGGAGCGAAGTATAGTTGAAGATTGTCAGAGTGTTATAAAAAGCTTGAAAAGGGAGAGGTCAAGGATAGTGGAGGTGAATCGACACCAGCTAGAAGTATTGCGGGACGAGAATAAAAACCTATCAAAGATGGTAGAGTTGTACTCTCGAGACATGCGAAAGCAGCTGGAGGACCTAGACCGACCAGGGAAACGCAAGCAATCAGATCGCGAGAGAAGTTTTGCTGAAGCGAAGATTGCGATCTTTGGGAGCTCAAGTGATGAGCCCCAAGAGGCTGTGCGTGAAGACCCTGGAGAGGACATCCAGGGGGCCAAACTCAAATCTCCTATGGTCGAGACACCAAGCACTGTGAAAAAATAATTTCTAATGTATTATTAGTGTGCTTGTTTGTTTCGCCCTTCCCCTGTATTTTTTTTCATTTTCATTTTGTTTCACTCTTTTTTTTTTCAGAAATAAAAGAAATTAAGTTGCAAAAGAAAGAGTAGCACACTTCCCAAACAAAACAAAGATGACAGCCGAAAGGGAAAACACACTTCCCAAACTTAAAATAAAACAAAGCAAAACACAAAGCACAAAAAAAATGAAAGTAACGGGTAAAAACATAAAACACCAGAAAACACGGAGGTAAAAAGAAAAGTAAAGTGAAAGTAGAAATGCTCCCTTCTAAATGCATGTGACCGTAAAATCCTCGTGAAGCGTAGGGATCTGAGAAAAAAAAGGGCAACGACTGGATAGCAATTTGGAGATCCGAAGTGGATGTCGGCTCCCTCATCAGTAGATGTCTATTTAAACCGTGCATTGGTTAAGTATAGGAGTATCCTTCATTTCTTCCTGCAAACTCAAGAAAAACTATCAAATAATTCAGAAACAAAGCAATGGCATCCTCATGCGCTCATCTTGATGATCTCAACCTTGAATTGTCCCTTGCACCTCCGAATGCCCAGATAAGGGCTCCTCCAAACCCTGTCTTCCCAAACTCTACATATCATCACGGCACGGCCTCAAACTTTGCTGAGGCAATACCGAACTTTGCTAAGGCAAGGCCGAACAGAGCAGTGCTGCTGGGAGGCATGATTGGCAGCAAGCTCACACC